ATCTATCTATCTATCTATCTATCTATCTATCTGTAAGTAGGTAGGCAGACAGACAGACAGACGGACAGACGGACAGACGGACGGACGGATTGATGGATGGATGGATGGATATATGGATATATAGATGGATAGATGGATAGATAGATGGATAGATAGATACTTCATTCATCCCAAATTGTGAAATGTGTGGAAACAATAACATTAAATACAAATGAAAGCAATAGACAGGAATATATGCATATACAGTATAAAAGGATGCGATGAATATTCTAATATTTAATGTAGCCTTACTATGAAGGCTGACCTAAATACGTTGCTTTTCTACAGATTACCTTACCACTGCACTGGTAAGGTAAAACTAGGCCGATTAATAAGATGTGAAGTGCTTTGTAACTTTGACCCGCTTGACTGAATACACAAAAAAATATGAAGAAAGTTGAACCAATAAACTAACACAAACTAACTGTATCACTATAACATGATGATGATGGTGATTGTTACGACCCTGGGTCGTTATGTCATTTGTGTGTAGATATGTTTCCCTCCTCCTGTATCTCTCCTGTTGTGCTGTGGTCCTACTTATACCGTATACTGGTCCTCTTGCTTGTCTTGAAAACCTCAGAAAAGAAACTACTTTAACCTGTCCTTGTTGGACACGCTTTCATTTATGCAAAAGTGTGAAACCCTTTTCTTTTGGTTGATTCTCGTTTTCTCCTGTTTATACGTCAGAGTAGGTAAGAAGTCTGTACGTTTATTTTTATTATTTGTTAGGCAATATTTATGTGTTCAGAGATTTGTTTGTTTTGTGGGTTGTTGCGTTTCTTTGTTAAAAATGTTGGTAATTAAAATTACCAAACGGCATTCTCTGTCTCGGTGTCCATGTTCTTGGGAGTGGGAAGAGTTGCGAGAGGGCAATTTTATGCTGCGCCTAGTTTCCCTAGATCTGGGCGTAACAGTGATAAAGAATGCATCTAACATAGCCGTGGGAACATGTTTCAAATGGGGGGTGCTGTGGGGATGACACCAGGGCCGGTTCTGACCAATTTGCTGCCCTAGGCAAGATTTTAGCTGGCATCCCCCCCCCCCCCCCCCCCGTCGAGGCGTGCAGGAAACTAAACCCACCTCCCCTGAACATGGGTCGACTGAAGAGTCTCGTCATGCCTGCCTACAAGAAGTAGCGCTGAGCAAAGTGACTAGAAGGCAACCACACACTTATAAAAAAAAACACACTTTATAAAGTCAGGCAACACTAACCAGGCTTCGTGTGATTCTGTTTATTTGTACCTTACTTTGACCATCCGTTCGCTGTTATTGATCATTGTGGAGAGCAGGCAGACGTTTTGTTTTGTATTATAGCAGCTATCGGAGCCATCGGGACGTTCGGGACGAATCCCAATGGGCCGGTACTGAAGTGGGCCGATCGGACGATGTGGGTCTGTCGGATAAGTTACTAGTACCCCCGCCCCCCCCCCCCCCATTTTAAAGTAAAATGCTTCAATCTGGAGCACTTTGAGCATAATTACAAGAGACTGGATCTAGGGGGTACAACTCTAAAACACCCATATGAAGAAGATCGGTTTACATTTTAATAACCAAATAAGTATGTGAACATAACCAATAACCTACCATAGTCAATAACAAATAAATGTAACGTACTTTATTTTTGTTGTTCATTTATATCTTATTTTACCTAGTTAACAGTTATTTATTTATGCATATTTTTAATCTCTCCAGTTTTAAAGGATATTTTTGGTTTACTGTCTATAAGCAGGCATCCTCAAAGTCCGGACTCTGGTCCGGATCCGGAACGAACCACAACTGTCTCTGGGCTCTGAGCAAATTATACTTTTCATATGTATTATCTGTATTATTATCTGTATTATCTGTGTTATCTGCGCGAGACATCGCCACAACGCAACGAGTCAATATTCTCCGCTATGTCCACTGCAAACAGCGCTCTGCATGTACGACTGTTGCACTGTCTGTGTGTGTGTCTGTCAACGCATTGGTCCAATCACATTCAGCATCCCGTCAGCGTTTTTTCCCCCCACCAACAGTCTGCGAATCAGAGGCACAGTAGGGCGGGTCTTCGCGGAATGCGGGTGGGAAAAATGCGTGTGTGTTTAATAAAATGAGAGAGAGTTAACAGCTCATCTAGTTGCATCTGTACTGTAGCTAGTAACCTAGTTTCACCTACCGGGGTGGCATGGGGTGGCAACTGCCACCCTAAAAATAGGCCTTGCCACCCCAGCTGCCACCCCAGTTGGCAGCTTTGTTTTGAAAGAAAAGTTGTGGCTCATCTGACATTTATGAGAGAAAGTCTCTAATGTCCGAGTGCAAGTGAATGCAGCACAAGATGCACGTCTTGTAACCATAGCTTGTAACCCGTCCTCCGGCCCTGGCGCGAGCGTGGAAATATGATTGACCCAAGTACTGAAGGAATGAGGTATTTGCGGTCTACAATGACAGAGAAGAGACTGTCAAGTTTGGCTGTACTCAGCATTGAATCAAAACGCACTAAAGCTTTGGATCTTACTAATTTTGTGAGGTGTTTTGCTGAACAAAATGGTAATCCCCACATTCAGCTGTAATAGACATGTCAACTTGATGCTCTGCTCACGGATGAGCATACACAACTGTTAAGATGATGACCTTACGTGTGTAAATATATATTTTTTTTTTGTCGGGGTCTGCCCCCAAAAAACAGTTTTAAGTCCTGAGAAAGTCAAATAAGACGGTGTGTAAAACTACACTGCCCAGCCAAAAAAAAGTAACCACTTTGATTTAACTAGGCCAGTAGGTAAGGTCATTCCACTGGATAATAACTGAAGTATAAAAGAATGCATGACTGAAGTGATGGAGACCATGTTTGAAGGCAAACAAAAAGAGGAAATAACAGGTCAAATCAAGCAAATCCCCCTCTCAGATTCCACAGCAACCAGAAGAACATAAATACTGGCTGGTGATTTGATTAATCAGCTTTGTGATGGAATAAAAAATGCACAGTGCATTTCCTTAGCTGTGGATGAGTCCACTGACACCACTGACAATGCTCAGTTGCTGGTGTTTGTGAGTTTTTATGATGAGGCAAAGGGGGAGTTTATTGAAGATGTGTTGGGCCTGACGAACCTCAGTGGACACACAAGGGGGCAAGACATTTATAAAGCAATAATGGGAATGCTGAATGAAAGAGGGTGCAGCTGCCTTTAATCATAACTGTGCAGCTCACACTGCGACTCTGAGGGATCAATCACAGACACAATAACAATGAAAACTTCTGCATACAGATTATTTTTGTTTTTGCAACCTCGTGTTAAGAATCTTGTTGCAATTGTTTAAAAGTTTGAATGACCGTAATAAACGGATCTTTGTCTTATTGAAAAAAAATGTTTGGACCTTTAAGATTTGTATTTGAGTACCCCTGGTCTACCGTATACATTGGAATGATTTCAAACCTGTTTTTATTTATCCTAATAATTATAAAGGAGTGCCTTGGAAATATTTGTTTACATAAATTGTGACCAAACCGTTTGAGACCCACTGAGATAACTTAGACTAAAGTGAACTATTTAAACACTCAGAGTCCTTTACCTCATTGAGCCTCTCAGGGGAAATGGAAAATGTAACCGGGGTGAAAAGGGTGTTATCTTTACTTAATTATGAATGTTGTTACATCAAGGCCGAAAATTGTTTTTTTTGTATTATATTTGTATTATATTTCCATTAATCTTGTGGACGTGCAGATTCCCTGTCCTCCATCAGGGGGTGCTGCAGCACCCTCAGCACCCCTACTTTCCATGGCCATGGCATCTAACGTTCCGCTGTTCATTAAAAAAACACCGCATTAAACAAACCATCATGCTCTTACTTTGAAAACCATGCCGAAATGTCGTCATCAGCAGGCCATCACGTGGCTTACGTGATAACCGAGTGACACGAGTAGATATTAGCCGAGACCGGCGGAAAGGTTGTCTCAAAACTCTGTGTGTGTAAAAAGACGATCCACAAGCAGAGATTTGAGATCCACAAGCAGAGATTTGAGATCCACAAGCAGAAATGTGAGATCCACAAGCGCATTTTTGGTTGACAAATACAAAATGGATTCACAAATGCCTGATCGAAAGTTGTAAATGTTAAAGAGATATTCAAATATCTTTTTTTTATTTGTAAAAATATTTTGCGCATTTGCAGATCCGTTTTACATTTGCAAATGTATTTGTGAGTTTGCAAATCTTTTAAATGCTTTTGTGGATGGTGTTTTACATTTACAAATCACATATTTACACACAAATTATTTTTCTGTTCACACAAATAATTATGAGACATATCTATGTCCATAGCCATTGAACGGAAATACATAAAAGTAACTCAGGATGGATTTGGAAGTGTACCAGATCAGTTCCACCTTGTTTCCAAAACATGATAAAACTGAAGAGCCCCAAGGGTCCCAGAAGCCTCAGTGTGGAAAGAATAACACTTATCCTATAAGATAAGGTATCCAGGTCTAGTGGTATACTATAGGTTACAATACACTTATTTCCAACTGCAAATATGTTTTGTTAGAACATCATGAGGCATGTCAATACCAAACATAAGTTTACATAATTATTTTTTAACTTAAAGGAGTGGTTTTGTATCTTTGCATAAATGAGCTGGGTTCATTTGTGCCTTTGCATGCCTTCAGAACGTAGCCGACAGTAAGAAAAGGAAAGCATAATCCTGTCAGCCATCATTCTTTCTATCTTCTGTTCGTTTTTCATGTCAATCCAAGGATACAACCATGAGTGATTTAGTGATAAAAAATAAACTACAGTCATCTTTATGCATCTTCATGGAAACTATTATTCAGATGCGTAGGCTACGTGCGAATTTCACAACATCCGAATTTGTAATCTGTAAAAAAAAAGAATGCAATTAAACACATGTGAGGCATTTAATTCGTCGGGGTTCATTCCATGAGTCGGTCCAGCCCCTTGCGTTGTGCGCGCGCGCCTTGCGTCAGTGAGACTATTTAATGGCAGCTCGCTCGCTGCTTCTGCACGCGCCTTCTGCTCTGTCAACAACACGGTCTCTAAACATTTACTCTCCAAGCTCCCCAACACTTTATCAGCGACGGTAAGTGACTTTTGCATTATTTCTCACATGCACCTTAGCATTCCTCCTCACTGCAATACACAGGCTTCAACAGTGCGTGGTGTTATGGCAGTTCTGTAATACAAGTTAATGCATGGCCTGGTGAAGACTCGACAAGCTTCATTATTTGTCTATCTTTGTTTCTTGTAGTTTTTTGTTAAATTAGCTATTTTTACTATTAGTATTATTATTTTGTTTATTGCATCTTTTGTATCTGGCACAATAATTTCCTTCTGAATGAATAAAGTCTTATCTTATTTTAGCTGAACCAGAAAGTATACGACTGAAGAGGCACCATGGTCTATGAAAATATACATGAGGCTTTTCTGAAGGTAAAAGAAGGACACTTTGTGACGGTCAAAAGGAACTCTATAGCTGGACTGGTGCTGTGTGTTGTCGAACTTAAAGAAGAAGGTATACATTTTAATGAACACACCTGTATTTCCAAATAACTGAATACCCACCTACATTTAATATCATCTTTGAATGGTATTTCATATAATGACTCAAAGTTAAGATGTTGTTTCTCTTTTGTGTTTAGCACCTTCACTAGTGAAAATATGGACACGTGTAAGCGGAACGAAAAATCTGATTGCTTTTAGTTTCCCGAGTACAGATGGCAACTATTCCCCGAAGGTGAAAGAAAAAACGCTGCAGGTAAATAAAAACCTCTAACAATAGCAACATGTTGATATATACATATTTATATTTACAGAATTTTACACTGGTGGTGAATTGAAGCATAGACATTGTATTTTTTGTGTTCACAGTTGGAGAAGATTGCCGATGTTTCTGAAATCGATGAACCTTATTGGTTTGAGAAGGTTGACCTTCACGCCAACGAACATTACGGCCTGCGGTCCGTCGTCAATCCTCGTCATTACCTCAGTAAAGATGACACAAAAGAAACCACTGTTTTCTGCCTCCGTGAAGACAGTCAGGCATGCGCTGAGCTCACAGATGAAGCATGAAGGTATGTTTTTCATGATTCTAACCAAAGTGAATCCATATTACATCTGCTTTTAACCTGATGTGAATGACTCTGACCCTGCTTTTTCATATTGTTCATTCTGCAGAAACCAACTACACCTTTGACAATATAACAGCAGACTTTCCTGCTGGGTTAGATGGGTTTCTCGGCAACAAGCAGGGAGTGGATTTGCTTAGAAAATGTGTCCTTCCTTGGTGACTATATATCTTAAACTTAACACTATACTCTTGATGAAGCTATCCAACTAGTACATGTTTAACTTTTTAAACATGAAGCCCAAGTTTGAACATTCTGTTAAAAAGCTTAAAGTCTCCCAGCCAAAGCTATATTTTCTCGCACTACTCAATCTGTTTTCAAAGACTATAATTGTTCTCCACGTAAACTGGTCTTTTTGTGTGAAATCCGTAGGATTCATTATAATAATATATTATATAATAATGTTTTTATTGTTGGTATTTAAATGCAAAGAAGGAATCGATTACTGTACGTATATGAAGGCTATTGATGATCTTTTTCTTCACCAAATGTTATTTTGGACAACTCAAGCTTCAACCTAACTTCCCTGAAAAGACTGGTTAGCTTTTAGTTGAAGCAGCTTCATGCTTTACCAGTATTTAGATAACACCTGCAACTGTGTAATCCATCCAAAGTAACAATAATTAATGTTTGTCGCATGCCTCTTTTATGTCTTGTCCTGCTGGTTTTGGAAAGAAAAAGCTTTATATTTAATTTTTTTTTTTTCTATGTAATATTTATACTAATAGTGTAACCTGTAAATGTGAAGACTTATTTTAATAAACTGTTGTATATCTTCAATGGTGTCCTGGTGTCATGGAATGAGTCATATTGTATACAATTCAGATATTTATTTATTATATTACTGTATATACCATTCAGACATGGATTGTGGGAATAAGTCATTGGTGGCCTGTTTCTTGGCACTCTCCTCTCCTTAAACTCTTTCGAGTTAAAGACACTGTCGCTGCATCCTTCGCTTGGCACCGCCCAACATGATAATGACTGGTTTTGCAGAAAAAAACAAATGTATAACGTTTTTATTCCCATGGAACAATGATGATAGTGCATCCTCCAGACCATTCTCCACCGCTGACTCAGTGCTTTTACTTTTATAAAATAACTAATACCACACTTCAATACTAGACTACAAGTAATATCCTTTCATTTTAAACCTTTAATAGTGCAAAAATGGTCCCTAAAGTATGAAAACAAAAAATTGAAATTGTCCAGTAGAATGTTTAGTATTCAATCTTTTAATATGAGTTTTGGGGTTAATATTACTGCTGAATTAATGTTGCATTTTGAGGCTGAAGATGTTTAAGGTTATGCTAATTTCAACTCCTTTATATCCTGTCGGGTAAATGAATCTACTGCTATGCATCTTGGGCTTCGTTGCTATGAAAACCACGGATCAAGCTCAGGAATTCTGTCCTTTTTTCAGCTTTGTGATGATGCATTTTCCAGCTGATCCAAGAGACTTTTTGAAGAGTTTTGTTTAGCTTAAGAGGTAGGACATTTTTACAAATCTTCACATTTGGAGATTCACTGGATAGGAAAGATATTTAAAAAACAAAATGATACATTGTAAAGTAAATAGAGCTATAGGCAGTCTTGTTTATGGGAGAGATTAGGAGCCAAATAAAGAAAAGTTATTGTTTTGTTAGCAGGAAGGAACTGCATGGTGCTGATAAAGTGTGAGGAAACACCCACCTAATAGATAAAATACAACAAAGACAGCTGAATGGTTAGTTTCCTTAAACACATTTGATAAATAAAAGTGCCGCGACAACAGTTAAATAAAAGAGATGTCTTAGAAGGAAGTACCTCAAATATGTACAGTACTTGAATAACAGTTACATTTATGGAGAAACCTTAGATTAAATCAAATCAAATCAAATCAATCAAATCAAATCAGGTTTTATTTATAAAGCACATTTAAAAGCGATTTTTGGTCGAGCCAAAGTGCTGTACATGTAATAAAAAACACATTACTACAAAACACAATAAACGACAATAAATTACAACAGATATAACTATAACAGATATAAAACACACGGAGAAGTCAGGAGTCATGCTCCGCTCTAATTAGAAGGCCAGAGAGAAGAAGTGTGTTTTTAGTGATGATTTAAAAACCCCTAGGGTCTGGGCCGACCTCACATGGAGGGGCAGAGTGTTCCAGAGCCTAGGGCCAGCTGCTGAGAAGGCTCGGTGCCCTCGGGTTTTGAGCCTGGTCTTGGGCACTACCAGCAGCAGCTGGTCAGCAGACCTTAAAGCTCTGGCTGGGGTGTAGCGCTGGAGCAGTTCAGTTATATAGGCCGGAGCCAGCCCATTTAGGGCTTTAAAAACAAATAAAAGCACTTTAAAATCAATTCTGAACCGAACTGGAAGCCAGTGTAATGAGGCCAGAATAGGGGTGATGTGGTCGCGCTTTTTGTGACCAGTCAGTAAACGTGCAGCCGCGTTTTGGACTAGCTGTAAGCGTTTGATTGAGGCCTGGTCCATACCCACATACAGAGCGTTACAATAGTCCAGTCTCGAGGTTACAAAGGCGTTAATAACCCTTTCCAAGTCTTTAAAAGATAAATACGACTTGGTTTTGGCCAATAGTCTTATTTTAAAAAAGGAGGATTTTACTACGGTGCTAACCTGCTTGTCAAATTTAAAAGTTCTGGTGAATGTCACTCCAAGGTTCATGACCGAGGGGAGGATGTTTTTTTTGAGAGAGCCCAGAATATCAACCGGAGAGGCTGGAGGTTGCGGTCCAAAAAAGATGACCTCAGTCTTGCTCTCGTTGAGGTTGAGGAAGTTTTTGCTCAGCCAGGATTTAATCTCTGCTAAGCAGTCCATCAGCTGCTGTAGTGAGTGTGTGACATTTGCTTTTAGAGGCAGATATATCTGTACATCGTCGGCGTAGCAGTGGAAGGGAATGTTATGTTTTGTGAGTATTGAACCTAGGGGCAGTATGTACAGTAGGAAAAGGATGGGGCCCAGAATCGAGCCTTGGGGAACCCCACAGGTAAGAGGGGCTTTGGCAGAGGAGAAGGCACCTAGCTGTACCGAGAAGCTACGGTCTGTCAGGTAGGACCTGAACCATGCAAGGGCAGAGCCTGTGATGCCAGCAGACTGTTCAAGCCGTGACAACAGGATGCTATGGTCCACAGTGTCAAAGGCAGCTGTCAGGTCTAACAGCACCAAGACAGCTGGTCTGTCACAGAAGAATCAAACCATTCAGCTGTCTTTCTTGTATTTTCTTTCTTGACATAACGTTTAGTCAGTCATTAAAGGGGCCCTATTAGGCTTTTTCGGGGTCTTCCCTTTACTGTAGTGTGTTAAATGTTTTTTTTGTGCATGTAAAGAATATAGCCCCTTTATTATCCGTTGGACTCTGTGCAATATCACTGATGTTTGGGGGATGGGTAACAATGATGATCTGGGCCGGTGTTATCACTGCCATATACATGCCATGACAGTATGTTTTGCAGACATGTTGTTTTACATTGTTTCTCTTTAAAAGTTTTAATTTTCATTAAGAAATACAGCCGTTTCTGAACACTCTCAACCAGGGGTAGAGTTGAGCCGTCGTCCTGCTCTTAAACAGGCACAACTAAACAAACTGTCCTTTGTACCTCAGCTCAGAATGTCACCTCAATATTTAGTTTTTCTCCGATTACTTACCGTTTTCTGTGTGCAGCTGTTGTTTTCTTAGGGCACAAGCCAAATGGATAACAGTTCAATGATAAATATGCAAACAAGAGCCAGGCTCTCCCACAGACACGCTGAAGGATATATATCAAAATATCAAGATAGCTTGCTTCATCCTGAACTGCACCTGCAAATATTACTGGAAGCTCAAAGTGTATGTTGTCTGTGATCATCGGACAAGGACAGACAGTGGCTACAAAAGCATTTGAGCAGTAAATCTGCAAAGAAACATGTTGTATGTGATGAAGTTCTCGGAGCAAAGACCCAGAAGAACACAAGTAGCAGACAGGAGAAAATATAGTTTTAAGGTCACGTCTAAGACACATTTGTGTGGTTGAAGCCCAGAGTGAGTAAGAACAGGCCCGTCTTATCTATCATCTCAAGAGATTGTTAAAGCCCCAAGACCGTTTGCATGCACTGAAAAAAATGAAATGTTGACTTATATAAAATTAAGTCACACCTAAACACCACTTCACACTTGTTTCTAAAGACTGCGGTGTTGTGTAGTAACCAATCACATTCTGCAGATAAAACACATACTGTACTGCGGGAATAGGCAGGAATTTTATAAACATGCTTTGGAGAACAGATTGAGAAGTACTACAAAGAATACATGAAGGTCACCTGGGTGTTGAAAAATGCAAAAGACGGGTGAGAGACAGTGTTTTCTGGCCTGGAATAAATACACATTCTCAAGCAACTTCTAAAGAAAGCTGATGAGAGTGGCTCAGACCCATACCTTGCTTTACTCAGCTACAGAGCCTCACCTCTGGAGTGTGGACTGTCACCTGCTGAACTTCTGATGAATCGTAAGTTATGCACCACACTGCCAAGCTATTCAAAGCAAAAGAGACACCCAAAGCTGCAACACCAACTACAACAACAAAAGATGAAGCAGAGAACATGCTATGACAAAACAGCTAAGCAGCTTCCATTACTATCAAGTAATGACACAGTCAGGGTTGAGGGTCCTGATGGATGGAGAACAAAAGCCACTGTTTTTCAGGAAGTAGCACCGCGATCCTTCACTGTGAGGAGAGAGGAAGGGCAAATCTTCAGACGCAATCGTTGCAGTCTTATGAAAACAAAAGAGGCTGGTCAACAGCTCAGTGAATCCATCATTGAGTCTGAGTCCACACCTTCACCACAGACAGACTGTGATACTAACACTCCAAGTGAACATGTGGTCAGAAGATCTATAAGGGAAATCAGAAAACCTGATAGACTGAATCTGTAATTGAGAGACTTTAATGGATGTTAAAATGGTGTAAATGTTTAGACAATTTCCAAGTTTGTGCTAGTTAGCATCCTGAGTAAATTTAGACCAGATGTTTATTTGTTATGGCATGGTAGAGAAATCAAAATGTTTGGTTAAAATTGATGTTGCACTATTTGTTTATATTACCTCAAAGAAAGGGGGATGTGTTGATTAGATAGATACACACTCCTACCACAAGGTGTCGCCACATAGTTGTGATCTATGTTTAAATCCACATGTAAGGTAAAAGACCTGGGGCCTCATTCATAAACGGTGCGTAAGCTCAAAAGATGGCGTACGCCAGTTTCTACGCAATGTTTGCGATTTATAAAAAACAAACTTGACGGGAAAATGTGCGATCCTCCACGCAAACTCTGACCCATGCGTACGCACAAAACCGGGAGAGACGAGAAACTACGACACCGCTGGCAGAAGGAAGAATGGAGAGAAATATGTGAAAATAATACCATAAATAAAATGTTACCTCTCATGTATATGAAGAATTAATTTGCAAAAATTGATTGAAGCCAATCTTAAAATGATTAAACAAACGCATGTTTGAGACTCCACCTCAGTGCACTCAAAAATGTAACTTGGAGAAATAAATACGGATATGTTATTGAAAACCACGTTGAATATGTTGTCTTAATGTTATGACATGTATTCTCATAAATGATGCGGTATGCAGAAGGACAGAATTACGTCTAAACTGAGGCCGTTTGGTATTTCTATAGGTTGTATAGATACGAGCATGGTTTTATATACTATCATGTTTAATCATGTTTTATGCCGTTTGCTAAGACTTGATAAGTCGCTCATAAAACACAGGAGGTATGGA